AAGGAGCAGAGCCTTGGAGACTCTCATAGCATGGCTAGGGGGCCACCTGCCTGCCCCATTCTGTGCTCCAGGAAACTGAGGTGCAACAGGATTTGGGAGCCACCATGTGTCACACAGTCCCATGGGTCACCCAACCTGGGCCTATGTAGCCCCCATATTTTGCTCTCAGGGCCCGGGGATGTCTCCACCAGCAGAGTCCTGATCTGCTCCATCCCAGGAGCCCAGTCGTGGAGAGAGCACTCCAGCCATGCTACAGATAGGGGCCTGCAGGCAAGTGAGACCAGGGGCAAGCCTGTTAAAATGCAGCCCTCCCGCTCCCTGTCCACGCTGCCTCTGACAAAGCCTGTTCACTGCCACGGGTGGGCTGTGATCGGTGTGCCCACGCCTAGGAGGCTGTGAAGAGCTTTACAAGGGCACCGGCTCGGAACAAAGTGCACTGCAGACACGATCCTTTTGTCCCTCCCAGCCTCCCCAGTGTGCCCTTCGTTAACCCTGTGACACAAACCAGGAAACAGGCTCAGAGAGGCCAAGGGAGTCCCAAGGATCTCACAACCAGGCTGATGGCAGAGCGGGGACAAGGGCAGCTTTCCTGATTTGCTCTCTGCCCTGACCGCACCCTGCTTTGGGAGAGGTGACAAGCACCTGGTAAGGGAAGTTCCTCTTGCTATAGCAACAAGGTGGGGAAACTGAGGCACAGAGTGGGCAGGTACTGACAAACAGCCCCCTCCGAAAACATCACCAGCACTTTGCAGGCTGACAGGGCACATTCAGGCCCCTGGTTCAGGCATTTCCACCAAGCTTGGCTTTATGGGAGATAATGTTAGCTTGGAAAGGTCCCCATGAAGCAGAGCGGGGACCCCAGACTCTCAGACCTTGGGTCTGATGATCCCTCTCAGTAGCTGTCTAGGTTCTGAGGTTGGACATTTATCTGAAAGGGGCTGTCATGAGGCTGGGCAGCAGCAGAGGACCACAAAGCTTACTTATGGGGGGGAACCCGAAGCTGCACACTGAACCCAAAAGCAGCAGCATCTCGTCCAGAAAGCGCAGGAACCAACTCCCTCGCACCCAGAGCTCTGAAGGAGAGGCTCAGGCATCAGGCAGAGCCCCTGGGGAAAGCACCCAAGCCTGAATCCCGAGTTCAGTCAGGAATCCTGGAAGAAGCTCAACTTCTGAGGTTGTGTCCAAGGAACCCTGCCTCCCACGGCTCCTGGTCCCCCAGGACTGGCTGGCCACTCCCACAAGGACAGGACTTGAGTTTTTTCATTTAGCTTCTTGTAGGATCCTTAAGGTATGAACCCTCCTCTCTGTCCACCCTTTAGAAGAACCCTCTGTCCACCCTTTAGAAGAACCCTCAAACGCCTCAGAATTTTTTAAAACATTTTCACATAATCTCTAACATATGGAAAAATTGCAAAACTCACAGGAACTTCCACAGACACTCTTCTAGAAGTGCAGATTGCCCGCCTTTTCCCCTGTTTACTTTATGTTTGTGCCCCCCTCTCCCTCACACATCTGTAGGGGCACACACATCTGCCCCAGTTCGTTAGAAGGGAAGTTCCTGGAACGTTTCACCCACAACAGCCCTACCACCTCTGCCACTGCCAAAGCACATGTTCATTCCCACGTCTGTCCTTTGTGTTGGTACGTGACACACACATGACACAGACCATGCTCTCTCCACATTACAGGTGGGAAACCAAGGCACAGGTCTCTTGATGGGTAGCATTCCTCCCACCTCATGGAGCCACCTACTTGCCTAAGTCCTCAGCATAAAACAGACCCCACAGCGCAGCCACTGCCCCAGAGCAGGACAATGTAAAGGTCTTTAAAAGAAAGAGCCACTGCACCAGAGCCGAGCAGAGTGCACTGGGTCTGAGCCACTAGGATCTCTTCTGCAAAGTCACTCGCATACCTTGGTGGGGATGGCAGCCAGGATGGGGGCTGGGTGTGGGACCCCCTCCCCAACTGCTCTCCGTCCTTGGCTTTCCTTTTCTCGTCCTGAGCTGATGAGATGGGACAGAAGGAGACCAAGCCTCCTCTGTAGGTCCCTCCCAGGGGCAGGGGCTGGGTCTAGTCCTCACCCCAGAGCCCAGCGCTGTAGACAGCTGCACGAGGAAACAAGCAGTGGACCTGACAGAGATGAACCTGTGGCTCTGCCCAAGGCAGCTGTCAGCCGAGACTTGGTTTGGGGCATGTAAAAAGGGGTGATTATAAACCATAAATGTCAAGAACTATGTAATGTTTTGAACAACTAATAATAAAAATTAAAAAATAAAATAAACTATAAAATCCCATGAGATGGTGAAGATCAAGTAAGGGGTGAAAGAGTCTGCCCACCTGGCTCCGGAAACAGAGCCAGAAACAGAGGGGAACGGATGTAAAGCCAGGACACCCAGACACAAATAGCATGGAATATACACACAACCACCACACACACCGCACATGCACACACCATCAATGTACAGGCACACCACACACACAGCACACCCACCAACTCATACACACACAGCACACTAAACTCACACCACACAAACACATCCTACACAACATACCCCAGATGCACACACGAACATAGACCCCACACACATACACATGCATACACACCGGCAAGCAGATGCCACACATACACACACTCATAACATGCCACACACGTGCACACACAGGTCTGCATTCAGCGCACCCTAAGCTGAGTAGTCTCCCTCTAATGAGTCCCTTCCCTGGGGGTGGAGACCCTCAGAGGGCTGGCACCTGGGGCTGCCCTGCAGAGAACCATGCCCACCCCAGGAACACACCAGACAACACGGCACAGCCTCAGGTGAGGGAAAGGGACAACAGAGGAAGGCAGCTCTCCAGAGTGGACAAGGACAGGCTGCCTCTGGAGAGACGCGGAGCTGGAAAGCATAAAGGGTGGCTGTGGGGTCCAACAGTGCTGGGAACATTAGCATGGGCAGGATGCAGCCAGGACGGAGCAGGAGGGAAAGGTGCATCTGTGGGGTGTACACACATGTGCATGTGGGTGTGTGCACAGTGGATGAGGGCTGTGTGAGTGTGTGCCTGTGTGTGTTCAAGGAGACCAGGGGAGGCCGGCGGGAGCTGGAGCTGCCTTCTTCCTGCACAGTTCAAGTCATTTGTCATTCATGGAATACCACCAAGAGACTCCCAAGGAGCTGGGCCCAGGGCTGGTTGAGGACAGAGGCACCTCCGGGGCAGGTGGTTGTCCTAAGCCCCAGGATCCCCCACCCAAGTCTGAGCTGTCTGTCCTGTCCCCCGCACAGCCTGGGCAGTGGACCTCAGCTCAGGAAAAGACAAAGCCAACTGTCCCCTCAGAGCTTCAGGGGCTCCCTGAGGTCGGCCAACTGCTTTCCACAGGGCCCTACCCTGAATACAGCACTCGGTCGAATTAAAGAAGAATAACTCACCGCCTGGAAGCCAGCCAGCTCGGCGATTATTCCACTTTTCCTGGAATGAGCTTTCCACACTTTCGCCGGCAGAAGCCATTGGCAGCCAGGGCTCCCGCCTCTCCAAGCTGCTCTCACACCCTCTGTGCTCTGCACTTGCTGTCAAGTGAGGCACCGCTAAATGCAATTACGCTCCGGAGCATCCTCTGAGAAGGAAGGGAGGGAGGGACGGGCAGGCGGGGCAGCCCGGGGCCCACCTGGTCCACGGCAGGCAGCTGGGGCGGGGGAGCCTGCCTCTGCCCCTCGGCCAAGCCCTGGCTGTCCAACTTGGCTGTGTGGGTGGACCATGCAAGCGGATCATGGTGGGAGAACATGGGGACCTGAAGGCAGAGGAACCCCCTCCTCAGCACTGCAGGACCAGCCTTCCACAGAGGCTGAGCAGAGGCAAGAGGGCGCGGGCACTTAAGGGCTGGCCTGTAACTGTCACATCAGAGTTTCCATTCACAGGCAAACCAAAACCAAACCAAACAAGACCAGCACACACACCCGCTCCCCATCACTCAACTGCTAACCGATCAGAATTCACAGCCAGCCAACCAGAATCCAGACGCCGGCAATGTCATTAAGAAGCCTGCACAACACTCAGATGCCAGGAGGGTCTCGGTGAGTATCCAGACTCAAGCAGAGGAAAAGCAGGACAGCGTTGATGTCTGCAGACACAAAAGCCTTCCTCTCTTCCTGCTCAGCAGGACCCATCTCACTGCTCACAGGGAAGCACCAAGAATCTGGGGTGTGAGGCCACTGTAAAGAAACGGGCGGTGCAGGAGATGAGCACCTGACCACAGAACTGCACAGGGAGTCCTGCCTCCGGCCGCCTTCAAGGCTCTGCTGCCGTTATTAAGGCAATCTGTCAGAGAGAATGCCCAAACCAAAATAGAACCCAATCAGGTGGCCGTGAGCCTGACCTTATCAACAGCACTCAGCCTGCCGCGCCACTCTGAGCTGGTAGAGCCAGCACGCTCCCTCCCGACTCCGCTGGCACCTGGCACACGGTACATACCTGAAAGGCTGGGCTTCTCTGCAGTCAGCCTCCCAAGCTGCACACCTTTGTTAGAATCGGGTACAAATTCCCTGATACCTGCACTGGGCTCTGAAGCTCCCCAAGTCAGACGGGGCTACTCGGCGTGCGCTTTCTATTTAAAGATCAGACAGGCTCACGCTCAGACACCATTCAGGCCCGGAGCTTCTAAGAACTGGGTGCTAAATCCGGTCTCTTTGGCCTCACTTTCCATCAACACAGGAGACGTTCTTGTTGACAACCACGGGTTCTATTTTCCAGCGCCGGCTGCACAGGAAGCAGAGGTAGCAGGGGAGCGGCCTCGCCTCCTGGGCTGGGCCACTCACGGTCACCATCATCCGCTCCCTTGGAGGAGACGTTGGGGAGCCAAGTTGAATGCTGCTGTTGGGACCTGACTGAACCAGACTGCTGACGGGCTGTCCCAAAACACACAGGGCCTCTGCAAGCGACACAGGACACTGGTGTTCCACCGGGAACCGGCCAGCAGACAGGTCCCCCTACACTGTCTTCTTGGACATCCTGAGGGTGGGGGACACCCGCCCCCGACTGAATGCCCATTTTCGGAGGATAAAGTGTTGGCTGGAGCGACAGCCAGTGCGCAGCCGGAGCCCAGCCTGCTGGGGTGCACGTGCGCGCCTCGAAATATCCTCCCCTCTCCCGGCTGGACCACGCTCGAGGAAAGAGACCGGCGCACTGTGGAGCAGCCACTGCGGAAGATAGGAGTGCAACAGAGCGCTGTCCCCAGCCCCAGGAGGCAGAAGCCAAGCCACCAGACTCTCCAGAGGAGAAGCCCATGCACCCTGTTCTGCCCTGCCCCTCCAAGCTCGAGCAGGCCGGGCCAGGCCTCTTGGTCCTTCTCTCCCTCCATCCCGCCTCCTTGGAGAGAAAACAAGCAGCCCATGCGTCAAGACGGAGCCTTCCTCGCTAATAAACCCATCCTATGTCTGTGACATGTTTCAAAAGGAGCAGAAAATTACCTTCCAGGAAGCCAACGAGAGGTAAGGGGCGGGGGGCCACGTGTCAGAGCGGGCACGACCGGCCGCAGGGGCTGGGCTGGGGCTCATCCAGCAGCCCCCATGCCCGCAGCATCGCTGAGCTCCTCAGGTGCCAGTGTCAGGGAGCCGCCCGAGGCCTGGGGCTCCCCAGGCAGTCCATGCCTAGAGGGTGCCAGCACGGGTCCCAGGCTGGGTGGACAGAGGAGCCACAGCGGGCAGGGATGACGGAGGAGGGAGGAAGGCAGGCCGGAGAGGAAGGGGTGGGGAGCAGAGCGGGAGGGCGGGAAGGAGGGAGAATTGATTCTCTCTCCTCCACTGGGACCACTGAGCTAAGTTGCCATGGAGAAAGGGGAGCCGCTGGCAGAGCTCAAGGCGGGCGGAGGAGCCATATGCCAGAGGGAAGGCGTCAGCGGAGAACCAATCCCACAGTTCTGCTGCTGCAGCCTCCCCCAGGCCAGGCCTCCGGGCCCCGGCGACAAGGCTGGGAGGGGTACAGCTGAACCCGCAGACAAAAGCCGCAGCCCTCAGGAAAGGGAGGCTGGAGGGGTATGCGCTGGCCACCCTCAGGCAGGCACGCAGACCACCCCCCTCAAGCCTCCATTCTCAAGCTGCAGGGCTAGTCAGAGGTCAAGACCCCAGGACTGAGGAGCCCACAGGCCCCTCCCAGGCCTGATGCCTGAGGAGGCACTGCTGGTCCACACCTGCCTCCCTCTTCCTAAACATCAGTTGCCAAATCCTGAGTCACATTTTCCCACCCTCGGGAAGGAGGGGATGCCCACCTATGGGAGGGCTTCAGTGGCCCAGCACCACCCAGGCAGGAGGCAGGAAAGGGAGGCTGCTTGGCATGAGCCCATGGAGGAGGCTGCTCCTGGACGCTGTGGGCTGGGCCACACCAGGCTGCATCGCCTGCCCAGCTGCTGCCATCCCTACGGTCGCTGCTGGGTGCCTCTGGCTCCAGGACTGGCCTTGGACACTTGAGGCTACAGAAATGGGGCTGAGGAGGGGCCAGGGCCTGGGTGGGAGCCTCGGCTTCTCCTTTTGGAGATCGCAGAAGCAGAGCAAGCCCAGCCATGTTCCTGGGCTTCCATCTTTTCACTGCCAACAGGGACAAGACCACCAGCTCTACCAAACCACTGCGAGGCTGACAGAGTGGGGAAGCCTGAGGCAGTAGACGCCCGGAAGGCCTTGGTGCCACCTCGGGGGATCTCCTTGGGGGGCCAAAGGACAGGGCAGCACCCAATGTCCTGCCTCCCCTCGCCTGCTTGATGGCCAGGCCCCAGGACAGGGTCCCCAGGGCCGCTGTGCTGACACAGAAGCATCGGAGGGTCTGGCACTAGACCCTGTCCCTGAAGCTGTGGGCTTCTCTCTCCTGGCCCCCCGACTTTCCCCTCAACATTTTGTGGCATATGGCAAAGGAGGAAACGTCAGAAGGAGCATCCATGGATTCACTACCTAGAGTCAACTGTTTCCTCTCACTCTTTTTTTTATTGTGTTAAAATACATATAACATAAAATTTATTCATTTTAACCATTTTAAAGCCTACACTTTGGTGGCATGAAATACATCCATGACATGGCACAACCTCCACCTCTGTGGAGTTCCAACCCATTCTTTTCACCCCAAGAGGAAAGCCGTGAAGCAGTTACTCCCATTTCCTCTTCCCTTCAGCCCCCCAAAACCACCATCCTCCTGTCTCTACAAATGTACCTGTTCTGGACATTTCACATGAATGGAAGTGGCCCTTTGTAACTGGCTTCTTTCACTTAACGTCATGTTTGTGTATTGTAGCCTGTGTCACCACCTCACTCTTTTTCTTGGCTGAGTAATATATCATTTTGTGAATAGACAATGTTTTATTTATCTATTCATCAGTGGATGAACACCTGGGTTGTTTCTATTGCCCTCTCACATTTATTTATTTATTTATTTATTTATTGGTGGTGCTGGGGATTGAATCCAGGGCCCTGTGCATGCGAGGCAAGCACTTTACCAACTGAGCTATACCCCTAGCCCCTGTCCTCTCACTTTTAAAATGAGGTATTTTTTAGAGCCCTGGGAAGTGTCCTGACATCCCCCTATCCCTTGGTCTTCAAGTTGCAGGTCTCAGAGGCCCCAAACTGAGCACTATTCCTACCTTGTCTTTCCATTAAGCAATACTCCTCACTGGATGGCAAACAGGGGAGGCTGCCTGGCCTGGAACCCAAGGCAGGGACCCTAAGTGGCCTCAATCTCCTCTGTCCCAGGGAGCCTGCATCAACTCCAACCCCCAACTCCAAAACAAGATGAGCCTGGGTTCCAGAGCCGTCCTGCACCCCTGCTGCATGGCTCACGAGTCATCCCCTGGAAGCTTCAACTTCTCCACCTTTAAAGTGGGGACAAGGATCTCTACCTTGGGGGTGCCCCAGAGCAGGGCCAATGTTGCCAGCAGAACTCCCACCACGACGGCACGCTCCACACCTGTACCACCCAGGACCCAATTCCACTCATTTACAACTGAGATGAAACAAATCACAAGAAGCCAGTGGTGTGCGCCCTGCTTGGAGCAGCCCTGCGACGAGGAGATGGAGAACACAAACGGGCACGGGCCCAGGCCTGGCTCCTGGGTCTTCGTGGCTTCCCCTTCCTCTCTGTACTTACCTTCTGTGTCTGGCCAGTGGCGCTGGCTTCTGTCTGCAGCCTGACCCAGAGACCCCTCTAAAAGGACAGGGGGAGGGTAGTCAGATTCTCAGGGAACCAAATAGCTGCCAGCCGGGCAGTGGGCTTCTCAGACTCCATAATGACAGGGTCTCTGAACCATGGACCCTGCTCTCTGCCTGTTCTAGAACCCTCCTCCCCGTCTCCCCCAGCAACTCCTGAGGCCATCCCTGGAATGTCCGGGCAGGGGCTGCAGGAGTGGAACCCCACCCCCAATGCAGTGGCAGAACCCCCCAGCAGGATCTTCAGAGAGAGGGTCTTGGCTCCAGGCCAGTGCTCAGGGAGACCCTCTCATGCCGTGGGCTGCTCTCAAGGCTCCTCTGACACAGAGGGTCTGCACAGAATCCAGGCGGGACTTGTGCAGCCTTCTCACTGCAGATGCAGAGACATAGAAGCTCCTCTGGGGTCACGCAGCAAGGCAGTGGCAAAGGTGGGTCTGCACTGGGCCCGGCCCCCGGGGTGGTATGGGGGCTTGTGTAAGCATACACGCTGCTGGGGTTTCCAGTCCTCAACCCCCTCACCAGGCAGGCAAAGAGCTGTGTGCCTAAGAGCGGGACAGCGAGGACCGAAAATGCAGTAAGCCACTCGTCTCCTGTCCCAACCACCCGGAGCCACCATCTGGAGGAGAAGCCATGGGCGAGGGGAATAAAGGCTCCAGATACACAACAGAAGGGTACACCCAACCACAAAGCACCGTGCCCCCCTTTCCACATCCAAGATCCAATCAGCTGCAGACTGGAGTCATTGGGACACACTGCGTCTGCCCTGAACATGTCCAGAGGTGTTTCTTCTCATTATCCCTAAACAATGCGGCGCAGCAATGCTTTCAGAGCAGTGGCGTCATGCTAAGTCTTGTGAGTCATCTAGAGACCCTTTAGCCATGTGGGGACGTGCAGAGGTTCTGGTAAACACTGCCACCTCACACAGGGGACTCGCCCACTCCGGTGTCCCGTGGAGCCACCCTCCTTCAATTCCGAGAGATGGCCGTGAAGCATCGGAACTCCTGGAACACGGGTCACCAGCGCGGGTCTGTCTCCACCCTGCGAAGCCTGTTCTTGGCTCCCTGCATCCCTGTCCCTGCCTCCCTCAATGGCAGGCCTGGAGGGACCCTCTCTAAATGTCCTGCCGAGGTGCGGAGTACAGAGCAGCAGGCATCTGTGCTCCTCCCCTGCACTGGCCTCTGCTCACGGCCCTCCTAGGGCCTCCTTGATGGCCTCACTTCAAACTCCACTTCGACCCCAGCCCTCGCATGCCCGCGGCTCCAGATCTTCTTCAGAGTGTGATCCTTGCTGCACACTCTACATGCTTTTCTTCCTTTTGCTTTTTTTAAATGGTGGCAAAACGCACAACACAGGACATTTGCCACCCTAACCATTTTTCGGCATAGGCCTCAGTGGCAGTAAGTATGCCCACAAAGTCCTGCCACCACCACTGCCGTCTCCAGAACCTCTCATCTTCCCAAACCCCAACCCACCAAACAGCTACCACCCTGCCCGCCCCTCCCCCACACTCCACTTTCCCTCTCTACACACTTGACTCCTCATGGTGTGACCACACCATGGTGGACGGTACCACATTTGTCCTTCCGAGCCCGGCATCCATCTCTCAGAGTATCACACATCTTCCAGATGTGGCATGTTCTTTCTTAAGATTTCTATCTTTCCCACTAGAGTGGAGGCTCCAGGGGCGGGACTTGGGCAGTTGTCCCACCCCTGTACCACCAGAGCCCAGCACACACGGGCTCCGGGCAAATCCTTTGGGTGAATTAAACAATGAATGAATGGGTGTGTGGGTGGATGGGAGAATGGGTGTGTGGGTGAATGGATGGGTGGATGGGAGAATGAGTGTGTGGAAAGATGGGTGGATGGACAGGTGTGTGGGTGGGTGGATGGGTGGATGGGTGTGTGGGTAGATAGGTGTGTAAATGGCTGGATGGATGAATGGGCAGATGGAAGGATAAATTGATAGATGAATGGTTAGATGGATGTGTGGTTAGATGGGTGTGTGGATGGATAGGTGTGTGGATGGATGAGTGTTGGATGGATGGGTGGATGGATGGGTGTGTGGGTGAATGGGTAGATGGGTGGATGGATGAGTGAATGGATGGAAGGATGAACTGATGGCTGGATGGATAGGGAACATTTAGTGCCTTACGGGTCTGCACCTGGCAAGAGTCACAGCTGCCTCCTCCAGGTCCCACTTGTAGACTAACTCCCAGCCCCACTACAAGGCCTAGCCCCTTGCCCTGGAGTCCCAAGCCCACCCTGAGGGAAGGCCATAGTCAACATGACAGGGCCCACATAAGTCACAGCAGGCTTCTTCTAGATGGCTGACTGTTCTGTGGCATTCCCCTCAGAGATGGCATGTCCAGGGAGAATGGTTCATGGGCAGGTAAGAGTTCCCCGCTGCAGGGTAACAGTGAGCCTGGGGCTCTCATAGGACAGCAGCTGCAAGGGCAGCATGGCAGTGAAGAGAGACGGAGCCAGAAGAACCAGAACACCCAGATCACCAGAGCTGGAGCCCAGCGCCCGGAAGGAAAGGCAGAGGCCTGCCCGGGCGTCCAGGAGCCTGGAGCCAGCTGCAGCCCTGCTTGGGAACAGGGCCCACAGCCTTGAGTGCTTGCCTCTCACGTTCTCCATGACTGCTTTGCAGGTGCCCCCTCGGAGAGCTTCTTACCTGCTTTTCTGAGTGGACAATAGGCGGAACCCACCGAAGCATCCAACATCCCTGAAGGGTGACTGACTAGGCCAGGCCTGTCTGCACCCCCTGCCCTGTGAAAGGGACCCTCAGAGCCTGCTGAGAGCCACAGGCAACCATGCCCTGCCAGGCTCAGGGTCCCCTTTGGGGAGGAGGTGTCCAAGGAAAGGGCAGCAGTGAAGCAGCAAGGCAACCCGAACCAGGATGCCTGCGGGTAGCAACCCCAGGAGGCCAGGTCACCTAGAGCCCTCTCTGCTCCAGGAAAAGCAAGCAGATCAGGACAGTGGGAGACAGCTGTACCTTTAAATCGTCTGACCACAGACACAAAAACATTTGCACGGGGAAGCTGTTTGCATCGTGGGTTATTTTTAGGGTGAACCCAGTTGCCTCCCCTTGGAACTGGATGAAGCCCCAGAGGCACGTAGTCCTTTTTCCCAGATAGGGGTCCTGCTCTGGTTTCCCTGGGAACGAGGACTCAAACATGGGATCTCTGGGACCCCCACCCCGCACTCTGGCTGGCGGGAAGGACTTGTGCACTGGGAGTCAAGACAGGTTTGCCTGGACTGTGAAGTTCGCCATCGCCGACACAGGCCACCCACCTGGGCCCAGGGAGAGCCCCCTGGCACCCCCCACTCAACCCTCAGCCCCTCCCCAGGCCAGGCCCAGCTGGGGGGGAATAGCTGGCGGCCACACTTCCAGAACAAGCAGCAATCAGAGTGAATGTTCTCTTCCACTCCCCCTCCTCAAAACAGGAACGAATCCATTCTACCAATTTCCCAGCTAATGATTTCCTCCATTAAATTAAAAAGAAGAAGAAAATGTTTTTTTAAACGGATTACTAGCCCTGTGCTTTCAGAGAGCCCATGACCCGTCAGCTCCTCCTAAGTCCGGAAACACCAACGCCCCTCAATTAATTTCTGATAAATAAAAAAATCACGGTCTCAGAAGCACGGCTCAGCCCCTTCCCACCACCCCCACAGGCACACAAGGTCCACTCTGGCCAGGCTCTGGGATGCAGGCTTCATCGGGTCAGAGAGAACTCTTGGCAGTTGGGGCCTGAGGTCCCTTCACAGATGGGAAAAGTGAGACACGAGAGGCCTAAGCTCCCCCCAGGATCCAGGGGGACCTAGAGTTGTGACATGCACCATGAGTACCGAATGTGGCCTGGGCCCTGGATTTCCAGGTGCTCCTCTGGGAAAACGCCCACAGGCAGGCCCAGGAGCTGAGGAGTCCCCGAAGGGCACCACCTGCTGCAGCCTCGCAGGGCAGGACCTGGGCTTCTCCTGCTGGTCTCTTTTCCTGCAGCACCTGGTTACACCCTGTTTGTTCCGTTTTGTTTTAAAGAATCCACCTCTCAAGAACATGGAAGAACTCGAAAACATGATGCTAAGAGAGATGACTCCATCCACATAGACTGCTCCGAATAGGCAAATCCACAGAGGCAAGAGAACAGAGGGTACGGCGGGAGGTAGGGTTTGTT